ATTTTGCTAACAGCACGTTCCCTTTGAAACTGCCTGTCTGATGCTTCTCAGAAAAAAATTATTTGCTTCCTAAAGCTACATTCTAGGACATTAGTTAAGACTCCTGAAATTTGACTCTTTCTGCATCTTGCATATGTTAACCAGCTTGTATCAAAAAGGCTGATAATTAATTTTGGAGTTTTATTGCTATGTGATACCTTCTGTGAGAGATGAAGGATTCTATCTGAATACTGTGTCAGATGAAAACATCTGTATTTTGTGGGCTTCAGAGCACAGTCTTTCAAGAAATATGAAGGTTATTGGATATAGTCCAGAGGATAGCAGAAAGAATGATAAGAGGTGTAGAAAACGCAGCATACGAACAAAGTCTTTCAATCTTCAGGTTTAGTTGTTTAGAGTAAAGAAGAAAAAACTGAAAGGAAATTCATAACAGCCTTCTAGTGTGTACAACTTTTCTGTAAAGAAGGAGAAAAACATTCCTCATGTCCACTGGGAGCAAAGTAAAAAGCAGTAGGTTTAAATTACAACACAGGAGATTTAGGTGAGACATTATGGAAAAAAGCCCTTTCCACTGTAAGGATAGTTAAGCGCAAGAATTGCCTAGGGAGGTTATGAAGAGGTTAGACAAACATATGTCAGAAATGATTTAGGTGTAGCTAATCCTGCTGTGAGATAATGTTGGACTAAATAACCTTTTGAGGTCCCTTCTAGCACTATTTTCTGTGATTCTGTGATTAGGATACTGTACTCACAGTATTGTCCTGCCGTGACATGTTTCCTTACAGGGATGATATCACTGAATTCTGCACTGCATGCTTTGCTTTGTTTTTACTGTAAACTGATGGGATGAACAATAGTCTGATGTTTGAAGCTCTTTAGCCTTATTCTTAGTACCTCAGGAACTTTGAGCAGGGCATTAGGAGCTCATCTTCAACCAGACAGCCCTCTTCTGGTTTTGCACTACCCATGTGTCAATAAGGGGCTTTGGTACACACCTGAGATTTAGGGACTTGTACTGTCTTTTAACTTGCAATCAAACACTTATTTGGCTAAATGCTCAGTTTCTGCTTATAAGCCAAATGCAAACAGAAAAAAAATAGACATGAAAAGAAATGTATCATAGCTTCCCCATAAAAGCAGGCATGTTCTAAAGCTGAATATAACTCAAGTTGTGAAACATCCTGGAACTGACAGATGGAGAATGATATTAAAGTGCCAGATATTATCATTATTACCTCATCACAGAAACCATTGAAGACATCAGTTTAAGACTGTCCTTATCCTCTGTAACACTCAAAACTCTTTAACTTTGCTCTTCCATTTGGCATTCTGCCATCCGTCAGGATTTCTGTTCAGCTTTGCATTCGGCAGGAGCGTGTTCTCAGTATTGCCTCTGCATCCTGAATATGGCTCCAGCACAGCCACACAGCCCTGGGCTTTGTAAAACTCCGTCTGGAGGAGCAAGGAATATGAGGTCTCAGATTTTGAAGTAGTTTAGAAGAAATTGGTCATACTTTTTGACAGAGTGTATGTCTGATCAGTGCTACTGTTCTGCAGAGATGAGGTTGTCACAGCATCTGTGACAGGGACACACCATTATGCCACAGCAGTGACCTGAGTGTGTAGTTTTCATAGCTGAGTGTGTTCTTGTACCTACAGAGGAGATGGGACAGTTCTTGGTTTTGTTCATCCTTTAGGAACATGGAAATTCATGTTTTCTACAGAGTGATCTCACAACTTTTTACATTTGTGTGATTAGTTGCCCATTCTTACTGAAGGAAGGGAGCAGTTTCCATTTTCTCAGACAATCCCACTTTTTCACCAGGTAGAGGCAGGATGGGAGAAGGCAGGCTCTGCAGTGCTTGGTAAAGAGGTGAGCCAGAAGCCTCATCAGCAGATGTGAATCACGTCTGTGGATCCTGAGTGCCACAGCTCTGTGAGATGGACTCAGACTTCCTTGTTCTCTGCAGGCAGGTCCCTTAGGTGGGGATTTCTGGCTTAGCATCTGAAAGAGAAAATCTACTGTTAAACAAGCTTATTTGCTGCTTACACCTGGTTTTCGGCAGGTAGCCTGGTATTCATTTGATTTAAAAATTCAGGAGAGAAGCCGAATTCATGTGAAAAGAAAAATACTGGGGTTTTTTACTCCACCACTTCATTTGCAGTCCTCAGAATTTCCGTGGTGAAGGGTTCTCTTGCAAATATATATACATATGGATTTTGTACAGGGATACATTCAGTACTGTTCAGTTGTTATATTATCTAAAAACACAGCCTATGTTCAATACTGGAGTTAAATTATATCACAGACTGTTTAAAAATATATGTTGTTTAAAGAAGACAAACACAGAATGTTCTGTATTATCTATCTGATATTTGAAGCTCTTAAAGGAGAGATCTTTTTAAATAATAGCAGAATCAGAGAATCACAGAATGGGTCATGTTGGAGGGACCACAGTGGGTCATCTGGTCCAGGCTTCCTGCTAAGGCAGGGTCATCCCAGAGTACATGGCACAGGATTGCATCCAGATGGTTCTTGGATATCTTCAGTGAGGGAGACTCCACAACCTCTCTGGACAATCTGTTCCACTACACAGTCACCCACTCCCTCACACAATAAAGAATTTCTTCCATATATTCAGATAGAGCTTCCTGTGCATCAGTTAAGGCAATTGTATCATATTTTATTTGAGGGAAAGTAATTAATATGGTCACCCTGGCTCTGCTTTTAGAGACAGATAATTTTGAAGTTCATTCAAAATAAGAGTTAGGAGTTTCATATAGAGGTTGTTAGATTTCTAGAGTTCATAAAATCATTAGGATGCCTTCCCTTTCTAAAAAGCAGTCAAGCCTTTCCAGCCTTTCTGGAAGGGTTTATTCTGCACCACGAGATGCTGCCCCATGAAAACCCGAGGGCTCAGCCCCTGCAGGGTGCAGGGTGCCTGGGGAGGGCACACACCCACTCTGAGTGCTGCAGACAGGGTCAAGGGAGGGCTCTGGGGAAGGGTTTTGCCTCCCTGTGCCCAGCACATGAGAGACTGTGTGGGTTCCCATCCCTTTACTGTTTGCCCCATGTTGGCCAAGAGAACGTGGAGACCCCCAGTGCTGCTCCACTTTCCCCAGCTGCTGCCCAGCTCAGCAGCTGGATCCAGAGCAAAGTGTCTGAGCAGCAGTTACAGCTGCATGGGCACAACTGTCTTGATACAGATTGTCTGCTGGAGGCAGAGATAATGACAGCTTTCAAGGCTAATATGCCTGGCAAGGAGGGAGCTGATACTGGAGGGAAGGGACCAAGAAATCAGTAGTAATTTGAAAATATAAATGTCCACCAGGATTCAAATTTCAGCCTTCAATTGATTTCATCCACTGTGCTCTCTGTGCTCATCTCCTCCGGTGCTTTAGTAGTCATTAAATGAACTTGGAAAACAAGTTTGTATCGATAACTCTTTTTACCAAAAGCTATTAATTTCTAAAATAACATAAATACAGGTATAATTGTGATGTCACATTGTCAGAAGCCAATTCAAATGCCTTTCAGAGATACAAGTACATGTAAAGTGGTAAGTATGCCATAACTAATGGTATTATTAGCTTGATTTACTGCAAATCAGTCACCTTTATGAAAATCAATCCCCAAGCTCATAAAATAAAATATCTCCCAAGAATTGTTACATTTTTACACTGTCAATAATAAGAGAAAAGGTGCAGTTATGGGTTTTATCTTTACTTTTTCCTGTGTGTTACTGGTTGAAAGGTATCTTACAGATTGCTGTGATATGTGGGAGTGTGTATATGAGCAAGAGATAGGTTACAGAAGTCATGAGCTATAAAAAGATTTAAAAAAAATAAAATCTGAGTGATCTTTAGACAATTAAGATGACATGTCTAACAAAGACTGTCAGTAGAATAAATGTGGCTATGTTAATATATTGAACCACTAACACATGTCTTTATCATAATGGAACTTACACAATGGTAGCTTCTGTCAGATTCTACTGTATACATACGCACATGTTTTCTGATACACAGAAAGACAACTGTATCTATTTCACTTCAGCTCTGAATTGATACTTCCATTTTAAATCACCCACAGAACATCTTTGCTTAAATCTGAGCTTTCTCTGAAACTCTGTGCTATTTGTCATATGAGTATACTGAAAAGAGGTTACAGGCAATCTGCTGAGGTCTGTGTGTATGATGCATTTGACCTCTGGACAAGAAAGAAGCTTCATCCTCCAGTGCTTTTAATTCTTATCCTTGCAGAGGCTGAATCTGTTGCTTGCATTCAAATAGTATGTCTTGTTAATGCTAAGTAGCAGTGACCCACATAGCACAATAGATTCGTTTGTCAATCCTGTGATTTCTGAGCTTTCCATTCATATATGTCTTAGCAGTAAATCGACTCAGAAATCATTTTATCAGTCTGTCAATGCATCCTTCTTGTCAATGGTCTGAATTCTGAAAAGTCCAGTTTCTCATTGGGCAGCACCAGGGGAAATAGATTTGGACCCAATACTAGATATTCAGACTCTGAAAATTCCCTGCAGCTCCCAAATCGCAACTCAAAACCACCAAAATCCTAAGTTAAAAAAAGCAGGATCTGGAAATTATCTTGAATTTTGAGGATGTTATTGTTCTGGTCTAGGTCTGAACTTCAGAGTGCAAAGCTGTCCCTGTTTGTTAGCATTTCAGAAATACTCTACACACAGTTACAGAAAGCAGTGCCCTTTTGTTCCCCCATGAAAAAAACCCTGAGCTTTCATTGCTTTTTTTTTGCTATTTCCAAAGGCTGAGGCTAGAGCCTGAATTCTTTATAACAGTCAGTGTTTTGCAAATGTCAATCATATTCTTACTATGTTTATTTTCAGTATTTCCATGTTTATTTAAGTACTTGCCATTTCCTTTAAGCCTTACATAGCCAATCAGGCCAACCTGGAAGGTCTAAAGGAACAGAACACTTTATTAGTGATATGCTTAATACAGTTTTTTTCCTCTTGTAGATGCAAGATTTACGGAATACAGAAGGAGCCCAGTATAGTTCCCATCCTCAGATGGCAACCATGAGGCCAAGGGTTCAACCTGCAGATATTAGGCAGCCAGGAATGATGCAGCACGGGCAGCTGACTACTATTAACCAGTCCCAGCTCAGTGCACAGCTTGGTTTGAATATGGGTGGAAACAGTGTTCCTCACAACTCGCCCTCTCCACCTGGAAGCAAATCTGCAACTCCTTCACCATCCAGTTCAGTCCATGAAGATGAAGGAGAAGATAGCTCTAAGGTAGGCTTAGATGCTAGGATTGCTATGTAAATGGTGGATATTTTTAGGACCTGCTAAATGAATGATATGGCCACAGTTATTAAGGTGATACTTTATACATGATTGGTGGTTCACTGAAGTGAATAAAGGGTTATGAATACAGAACTTACAATATCCAGGCAATTCTTCAGGCAGCTTGAGTAAATTGCATCATTCCTCTTTGTGAGAGCAAACTGGAATACTGTTGGACACTGAAAGGAGAAAGGATAATCATTCCTTTAGGAATTTAATATAAGGGTTGAGTTTTCTCACTTGCATAGCAGGGATGTTTGTTCCCAGTTAAAGATCAAGTTACTGCTATAAAAAGTATGAACAGTCTGTGCAATATGCTAGTCTTTGCCACTTGGTCACAGGGTGTGTAAACAGAACATCATAGCAACCAGAACAGAAAGATCCTATGAACTTTAAAATCCTTACCTTGAAAATCTGGAAGACCCTGTATGCATTCATACTTTTGGGAGGTGCTGACACTTCATCATGACATGTTTAAGCTTCATTTTCATGTCAGTGCAGGAATGAAGTGATAAGAGAAATTTACATAATAAACTTCTTGAAAGGATAAATGTCAATCTATATAGCAGGTTTCGCATACAAAAATCTCCCAAATCTCCCAAAATCCTGAAAACCTCCCAGAAATACACAAGTCTATCATCTTAATTTTGCAGACAGAAAAGCTGAGACACAGGAAGACTGGGACTTTGTACTAAGTCATCCCTTAAACTAGTAATAAAGCATGTTGAAACTGGGGACCTCCTTAGCTCTGTTTTGTGGTCACTAGAAAAAAGCAGCCCTGTTAGAGCACTCCTGCAGTGCAGAGTGTGCCACGTGCAGGGCAGAGTGTGCCACAGACATGTCTGGTGGGGAAAAGTTGCAGACTTGCAGGGAATGTGAAGAAAACATATTGTGAGTCACTGAGGAGGTATAATCCAGTCAAGAAATGTGAGTCTGATTTGTTTTAACATTATATTGTTTTTCATGCCTCCAGCTATAAAATAATCATGTAATTGGAGACATATGTTTTACTACATTTTGAATAAATTCCGATTCAAAAGTTTTATTTCAGGACATTCCCCTGATTTCACAAACTTTAGGTTTTAAAAATTACTGAATAATTCATACATTTTAAATGAGCACTTCCTTACTGAGGGAGACTTTAGAATACAGTTATGTAAAAATAATTCCAGGCAGCCTTTACTTTTTCAGAATAACTTATTTGCTACTTCTCTTGCATTGCTAATATTTTCACATTGCTGGGAGTGTGCAAGGTGCTCTAAACTTCTGGAGAAAATATCCATTCAAATAATTTGGATTTCCTTTCTACTTCTATCAAGTATTTCAGTTATTAATCGATATTTTTCATGTACCTTTTGACTGTAGCACTTTGTACTAACAGAAGTGTAGGGCTGTGGTTTAAAGCAAGCAGTAGTTATCTGAAGCTAATGTTTTTAATAGAGGAATACAAAGCACTGCAGACTATTTTCCTTATGAAAACCAAATATATATAGCATTCAACTTTTAATAAGGATGTTACCCTCTTTAAAATTCTCTCATGCATAGTCTAAGCAGAAAAAGATGACAAATGGCACAATGCATGACACAAAATTAAATCCAGTGTGCTAAAGTAGATACATTGCCTTAAAATTATATTTATAATTTCACTGCTAAGAGAAAAGTTTCAAAGGATATTACATTTGGTTAATATTGACAGAGGCTTAAAGTTTTCTCCATCAAGTATGGTTTAAACAGCAAGCTTGATGAGGAGCAGATAATGCTATTCATGTCTTCTGTGGGATTTCTTAGGGCTTTGTGAAAACACCTGAGGCTGGCCACTAATGGAGACAGGCCATGGGCTGGCACACCTGACCCCATGCAATGGTTCTGTAGTGCCCTCTGTAAAAGACAAAAGGGGTTGAATAATTAGCCTAAGTATCTTGTTGTACCTCAAGATTTAAAGCTCTCCACTGTGTATCTTTTTGGCACATTGCTCTTCCTGGAAGCTGCCAGTGAGTGGCTAAGAATACTCAAAATAAATCAATTTTCTGTGGAGATCTTTCTCCCCAGATACAACAGTATTACATTTTATCAGAGTAGCTTTGGAGGGGCCTGTTAAAGGTCTCACTCCAGAAATCCACTTCCAAGTGAAAGAAGGCACTGGATGGGGACAGGAGCAGATAGATTGACTGTTCTGTCTCTTGTGAGAACACCTGTCTTTTAACTGAATATAACTTTGCAAAATTTGGATTCTTCTCTTTGGTATATAAACTATCATGCAGATGTGTGGTATTATTTAATAGATCAGGGCCAGAGCTCATTAGCCAGTCCTTTGGTAGGAATACAAATGCTGCAGTGATAGGGTTGCTGTTGGAGTTCACTTTTTGCGCAGTCAGAGATGTAAGACCTCTCTCAGTTTATACCAACTGAAATATGTGAAAGAGAAGCCACTGGTCTTTTCATTTTTGGTAGAGAGGTCCCTAAAAACTATTCCTACTCCTATCTAGAAAAAAAATTACAGGCATCTCAATATCCTGTTAATATTTATATGAATTTATAGAAAGAGCATGGTGGAAGGTGCAAAAAATACATGCTTTGCATATACATTTGGACTAAAAATGTAATTGTTGCCCTATGAACCACTGGTTTCCATGAATGAAGGAAATGACCATTTCAGCTCAATATGCATATTCCAAATTCCAGTATTAAGCTTTACAAACTGATGTAATTGTTCGTGTACTGAGCTTCGTGGATGTTCATTCCATGAGAAATATTCAAATTGTTGTAAGCCTTATCCAACATACACAGAACTAATGGCAGCAGCTGCTAAATGTTATTTGGCAATACTCATTCCCATAAAAACGCTTTCATATAGGCTGTTCAGACTTCAACTGTCCTATATTCCCTGGCTCAAAGAAAGGGAAAGGAGCTGCATTGTAGAGGGCTCAGTTTCCCTTCATGCTATTGCTCTAAAGGCAGGACAGCTGAGGTGGCTTGACCATGAGATCAGTGACAACTGTAGCATAGTTGTAAGGTTGGATATACACTCAGGGAGCTGCTAAAACCATGGAACTGTGAAATGTAGCCTCAGACTGAGGGTATTGTCTCTGCAAAGAGTGCACATCACTAAGGCTCCTTAATGTTCACAAATCTCCTATGTGGGACTATTGTTAGAAGCAGAAAAAAGGGAGAACTGCTAAAAATAAGTAGTTGTAAGTAACTATAAAAACATCCTAAACAAAGTCACCACTTAGCATGTGCCTTATTTTGGCCACCTCAACATTGCAATATTATATTTCTGTAATTCTTGCCATAATTCACACTGTTGAATCGTTAAACTTGTACTTCGTTATTGCCAAGCATAATTGTGAGCTGCTGGAAGCATTACTGGTTTGTAAATAAGTATTTCTTCATAGATGGATAACAGGGTCTTCTTCTGTGTTAATTTGCATATCACTTATGAGAGAAATTCAAATAATGTATTTTAGAGGAAAGATAGCAAGAGGAGTGCAAGTAGCAAGAATTAAATAACAGAAATACAATTACTAAAGAACTGCTGCAGCATATTCTCCTTATGTGGCAGAGGTTTTACAATATTTACTTTATATGATAGGAGTTATAAGTGGAATTCTGTGTTGTCTGTTCAGCCTATTATGCAGATGGTGCTTGATTAAAATCTATTTTAAACTACAGCGATTACTGCAAGATAGTGTGCATAAAACAGCTCTCCTAGCTCCATTAAAGGCTTTGGTACTATTGCAGTTTATTTTAAATATGCTTATAGACATTTTCCAGGTTCTCAAGGGACATTTAGATATCAACGATGTGCCTTACTTGATAGTTTTAAATCCTACACTAGATATTCTTGTGATCTATTACGTGTGCAACATGGTTAATATACACTTTTTTAAAGTGAAAGATTATTGCTTTCTTGTGATAAATAAGTTAAATACATCACCATAATTAAGCAATAAGCCATGACAGGAGGTGGATTACCATGAGCTAACTATACCTCCAGGGATTTTGAGGCACAAGTCTATGCCTAGCAGAATATATATGGTTTTTATTTTATTTTCCATCTGTCTCTGCTTTGGTGGTTAGAAGTGGAGTCTATGAAGCTGATAGACTGATGGGAGCATAAGGTAGACCATCATCTCAGCCATTTGCAAGGTTATTAGTACTGGAATTCTGGTATTCTTTTTATTTCGTTATTTTCATATAAGACAAACAGAATTTCCCCTGTGAGTACTCTGTTTTTAACAGTGGGTTTTTGAAGTCTCTTGATCATTAAGGTTGGAGAATAAGTTTCTAGAGCTCTTCACAGAACAGCTTACCAGAAGGCACTTACGCTAGTTTCTGTAGTATATCACCTAGTTTAAGGGTAGTTGAAGTAATGTGGTATCCTAACATACAGAGAACTTTTAAATCACATTGGTTCAAAAGTAAACTGAGAGGAGAAAAATGTTAGTGAATCACAAGGGAAAAATTTTAGCTATAGAGCTAATTATTTCAAAGTCTTCTTGCTCATGGAGTTCCAGTTGCACTGGACTTTTGAAAAGTTTAGACTAATGTTCTCAAATTACAGCTGTAGTTAATTGTACGTTAACTGGTAGTTTTGTGTATCCTGTAGAATTAAAAAATAGCAAGAGACAAAAAGTTGGATAACTTAATAAAGGGTGGCATAATTTTGTTTTTCCATATTTTCCAAATCCTGACAATAGGCTGCATGTCTATTAACTTTGTAATAAAGTCACAGCTATTGTAACATAATGCTCAAAAAAACAAGGAACTTCATTTTCAAGTTCTGGTCATCACTTTGTTGCTGTTTTTAGAAAGCCACAGAGATTCAGATTGTTCACTGTAGTCACTTGGCTTCTGTTGGACACCAAATATTGAGGCATATAGGAAAATAAAAAAGTCATTTTTCTCAAAATGTGAATTTCCAACCATTTTCCTCATGCAGTTCAATGATTTGAACACCTGTATCCTCCTGTGCCACTTGATACACATTATTAAAAAATAATGATAGAAGGAAGTGAAAGAAGTCATGCCTAGTAGACCCTTAGCCTGGAGCATACCATTTATGCTCTTGATCTTCTCTTCTCTTAAAAATGCTTATGATGCACAGTGCTTTGGTCATGCCGACAAAAGAAAAAAGCTTTTGAACCCACTTGTAAGATGACACACCATTTCTACAGATACAGTAAATTAAGTGATCATATCAAGAAAAGCTACTTTGCCATGGAGCTCCAATGTGTTGAAGAATCAGATTATTGCCCCTTTATGTGCTTTTAAGTCATAGAATCCTAGAATAATTTAGGTTGGAAAAGGCCTTTAAGATCATGGAGTTGAATTGTTAACCTCATATTTCCAAGCTCACCATTAAACCGTGTGCCCTGGAGCCCACATCTAGACATCCTTTAAATGCCTCTGGGGAGAGTGACTCCACCACTTCCCTGGGCAGCCTGTTCCAATGCTTGGCAATCTTTTTGGTGAAGAGTTTTTTCCTAATATCCAATCTAAACTTCCCCAGGGGCAACTTGAGGCCATTTCCTCTCATTCTTGGTTGGCTTGTAACTTGGGTCAAGAGCCCAACATTCACCTTGCTACAACCTTCTTTCAAGCAGTTGTAGAGAGTGATGAGGTCTCTCCTGAGCCTTCTTTCCTCCAGGCTAAACAACCCCTGTTTCCTCAGCTGCTCCTCACAAGGCTTGGGCTCCAGACATTTCACCAACTTCACTAGGAAAATTGGGTGCTTCGGCATCCAAATGCTCATGTGGGGGCTTTTTTTCAGGTGGTGTATAAATAAAGCACATGAGCTTTCCTCCGTACACCATTCCTCTTTCACTCCTTTCCTCAAACCATTTGCTTTTACATGAGCAGATATAAAAACTACTCAGCCAAATCCAGATAGGTCAAAACTAATCCTTTAAAGGGCTCTAAACTGTCTATACTGGTAAAGGTTTGTTTCTTCAGACTTTAATTAGAAAGTGTGTAGGGGAATGTCTGTAACTTGAATTGCTTGGTTCAAAATCAGATTTTCTCCGAAGTCCCTGGAAGATGTACCACCAACTGCAGAAGAAATTGATTTGAACAGTAGTCTGGGGTCATTCTGGGGAAAGATGAGAATAAGCAAAAGGTAGAAATGACAGTGTTCCTGCTGTCTACAGGTGGGTCATGTTGTTGAACTGATACTCAGGCTATAGAGAAACTAATCTCATTTTAATTTTCTTGCTATAGCCACTAGAAATAAAACTTAGAAAAGGTGAAAAGATGACCATACAGAGATTATAGCAATTATATGAAAGAGGAATATAAAGAATTATCCAAAATACTTATAGTGAATTTTATGCATGTGACTAAAGCAGATAGTGTCAACATTTGGATTGTCAAAGATAACAACAAAAATTCCATTTCTGCATGTCAAATCCAAAGTTTTTGCATCACAGAGGCTGTAACAGTGGTTGGAATGAATTAAACTGGCTTTTTTTTTAAGGGTACTTTCCTAATTTTATGTTATAGGTCAACGGTGGCGAGAAGAGACCTGCTTCAGATATAGGAAAGAAACCCAAAACTCCCAAAAAGAAGAAGAAGAAGGACCCAAATGAGCCACAGAAGCCTGTGTCTGCCTATGCATTATTTTTTCGAGACACTCAAGCAGCTATCAAGGGCCAAAACCCCAATGCTACTTTTGGTGAAGTCTCTAAAATTGTAGCTTCAATGTGGGACGGCTTAGGAGAAGAACAAAAACAGGTACAATATGTGCTGTAGCTCAGAGGCTTTGTTTCAGGAAAGTGTTATCAGGGTCATCTGAGCACTGTAGGCAGCTTCTTTTGTTAGCCAGGATGAAACTTGAATATGTGCCATCTCAGGAATATGATTTAAAGAGGCTGAGATAAGGAGAGTATATATAATTTTATTTTATCTGTATGAAACCACTAAAAGAGTTTACCTTGTTTTGGGATGTGGCACAAGTTTTAGGATTATATTTAGGAATGTTTTATGCTGAAATCTGTGGGTCTAGAATTTTGCAATGTCATTGCCCTATATGTGAAACTGCTGAGTACAGGGGCCTTGCTGCCAAAACTTAGAATATCTGAGCTCTCACTTGTAGATGTTTCCCTTCCCCATGATCCCATGATGCCAGAAGTAAAACTGGGCTCACATTTGCTCCCAAACCACCTGGCTTTTATGAAAGAAGTTAGTGATGTGTTGACCCAAAGAGAGCTAGGGTGGATGCTGGCAAAGGGCATCCTCTAGCATGTATGTGGGCTGTGAAAATCACTTCCCAAGGTTGCTTCTGTCTTCCATGGAAGGCCTTGGTTCTGCAACGAGGCCAGCAGAGCTGGACCTGAAACATTGCAGAAATAATTCCAAGTCAGGCAAAGCTGTGTAAAAGTGGGCAACTCTGGAAGCTCATCACATTGAAGTGGTGACAGCTGGCGAATACCATGGATCCACACTGTAGCATACCATTGCTCTTCTTCTTCTTCTTCTTCTTCTTCTTGTTTCATTTTTACTAACTGCCAGCAGAATGGATTGGATTGATAAAGGAACAGGAACTTTAAGAAAGAAACAGATATGGAAGGAAAGGGTATGTTCTGGGTGAGAGTTATATTGGCTACAGGAGAGCTGGACTGGGGTTGATGTTAGCACAGAGAGTGGAAAAGTACTGGGAATGAACAGAATCTCCTTCATTCATGCACTGGTATTGGAAAATTACAGTTAAAAAACTAAGAATTAAAGAAAACTTTTTAATGATTTATTGGTAGGTAAAATTATTTGGGCTTGGGAAAAAAAAGGTTACTTTGCTAATAACTGGGTAGTGTAAGTACATCTAGATCATTGCTAAATATACCAGTGTAAAAAGAATCAAGATTTGGCACTCACTGACTAACTAAAAAAAATAAAATAAAACCTCTTGTTATCTTCATCTACCAATGAATAAGACCAGCGTTTGGAAGGTTTGGCTGGAAGAAAAGTAACTTTCTGAACACAGGTATCAGAAAAGTCACTTGGGCTGGCACATTACAGTTATTTTCTCGTGTTGTATCTTCTTTTCCCTTTTTTAACATGCCCGGCAAAGGCCAACCTAAAAGACTGTTAAATGCATAAAATACACATTTCTTTTGAGCTTGTCATTGTGAGTACTACCATCAAAATATTAAAGCTCTTCCATAGAAATGTGTAACAAAATTGCATGAAGCCCTAAATTTCCAGCTTAACTTAAATTTCCTATTCATGGTTGAGAGCAAAATTTGAATAAATCCTATAATGTAAGAACAGAACAATTTTTTTTTCCTTGTCTTGTTGCTGTTAATCTAAGTTGAAATACAGATGAATGATGCATTTTGGAATCCATATGACACATGCATATAAAAATGGCTGCAACATTGTTTTTTAAGCCAGTTCTTTAAAAAGTTTGGGCTAGCATATCTTCATTTCTTTTTTACTCATCTTGCCTATCCATTATCATCTATTAAGCACATTTTTAAAATTCCAGGCCAAAGCCCTTTCTAATTTAGCACTGTACAAAAATAATAAAAGATAGTTCCCATTAAAAAAATAAAATTGGCAATCCTATTTTCTACAATAAATTTAAACTAATTTTTTTCCATTAGGGATCTAATAGTAATGATTACAAGACATCTTAACTGACTAGATAGCCTGTATTTTAAAGGCTTAATTTTTCAGATCCAGAGCATTAGTAACTGCTATGAAATCTATGTCTCTGGTAGGAAAATTGGACTCTAAAAATACAAATTATCAATGTAGCATTTGGTATTTGGCATTGAAGAAGCTTCAGAAATTCAAAAATAGTTAAATAAAGAAACAATAACATCAACTTTATTGATGAATTATACTTGTTGAAAAGGATTCAATTATCATAAAGCTTCTGGCTTATGTTTTGGAAGCTAATGCTTATTCTGGAATTTAAATAGAAATATATTTCCAAATTATGTTTCCTGAATTGGAACTCCTTTTCCTATTTAAATAGTAAGTATAAATGAATCAGAAAGTAGAACATAATGCAGCTTTTGAGAAAGAAGAATAGCCTCATGTTTTCATGCTAAAATGAAATCTTCTTTGTTTCTGTTATCTGAGCCATTTTTTCTGAAATGCATAGAATTCTTCTTACTTATTCCTGAAGATTGACCACAGAATAAATAAAAATATAGAAACTCAGTACAATAATGACCTAAGGTCGATATATGTCCAAGACTTTGCAACAAAATTTTGATAACCTGGCATATTGAAAAGCCTTGTGCTATAACCACCTCTGTCTTTCAAACTGTGAAGAACTAGGAAAGTGTTATTTGAGAAAATAGGATTTGAATGACAAAAAAGGAAATGGTGTTATGAACTACCTGACTGTGGGTACTTACAGAAGTTAGGGGAGGGTTATGCTTAAAATGGATTGCACTCTGATACTCTCACCATGAGAAGAATGCAATTCATTAGACTAAAGCAGATACCAGTGTACTTCCCTCTTAATTTATCATATGAAGATATTTGAATTTTTGAATCGTATGTTCCCATTAATTTCTCTATGTAAAAAGCCCATTTGCAAACAATGCTGGTGTGTGCCTGTATTCTATTTGTCCAACTCTATCTACAGAGTCTAGAAGTTAAAGGGAGTTCAGTGGTCATGGTGGACTTTGTCACGGACTTCTCAAATTCTGGATAGAGTACAATAAATAAACGTGATCAGAAGCAGGCACTGTGCTTCATTTTTCACTGTAAATGCTTTCTAAAATTGTTCAGATTAATAAATCAGTGAACAGTAGGCAGCTGTAGCAGTAGTGTGTTGAGGTACATTCTCTTTAATGCTGTAGCCATAGCACTGGGATATTTTTTTTCAGTTCCTCTCCTATGATCACAAACACTGTTTTCTCTGTAGTACCATTCCTCTGTGCATCCCATTTCTATGGCTTATCTATGTGCATCTTTGCCCTTTGCACACTTTTTTACTGCAAAGGGGAGATAAACAGCCCCCAGGAAAAATGGATCAGCATGCTAAATGGTCGAGTCACTGGCTTTCAGACAGAACACTGGTTTAAACTGGGTAAAAAGGCTATTTAGGTCATTTTCTGTCCTTAGATGAAAAAGGAAAGTAATTTTAAATCAGTACCAGATGTGCATGTACTAAATGAACCTTAAGTTTCTAATTGGAGTCCTAGTAAAGCTGTAATAGATGTGGCAAATTACAAACAAAATGTTCTTGTTTACATTAGTGTAACTTTAAAACTTCAGCCAAAGACCTTAATAAATGTTCTGTTATTCTAAAAATGGAATTGAATGTCTATTCAACATTCAACAAAATTAATCTCTGGTGTTACTTCAGTGACTTAACTGGAATTCTAGTAGGAATTAATTTGGCCTCCTATGAACAGCTCAGTGTGCATACTTGTGTGTGTGTATGTGTGTGTATGTGTTCCTGTGTGTTTGCTTCAACATTGCCCTGGTCCTACAGCTGGGAGAAGGAGGGATTCACCCAAAACTCAGCAATCAGAAGAAGCAGGTGAAGTGACTGTTTGAGTGCTGTGACAGATGCTTTCTTTCAGGCTGCATAATTCACAGACAGTAATATTAGCTGCAACAGTTCAGCTCAATAGCAACACCTCATTATTTTATCCCTCAGTATTTATTCCTACGGTTGACGCCTCATGAAATTACTGTTAATGTGTTTATATAAGGGCAGATCTGACACAAGTGGGAAGAATTTAATTTCCCACTCATTCTTTCCTGCTGATGTGTCCTCTTCCCCTGGTAGAAGTGGCAAGTGTAAATAGTTAATTTGCTTCAATTATGAGCCTGTCCTGCTAAATTAGAAGCAGCAGGAATATGAAGAGCCAGAATTATACATATGAGGCAGCTGACAAATCCTCCGAGCTCACAAAATCAAATCATTTACTCCTCATTGGTGCTTAAAGACCCACTAGATAAAAGCTGCAGTTTATTCTTTAATATCTGATGGACTTGGATTGTATGTTACCAATACCTATGTAAAACTAAGTCCCTGTGCTTTAGTGTCAATGTTTTTGGTGCTGTTAACATTTTCACTATAACCCCCAAGCTTTCAGGGGTTTTTATGTTGTCTCTAAAAGAACCCAGACTAATTTGGCCATGAAAAATAACAAAACATGTTTAATAAGTTTTTCTTTTCCCACAGGGATGTTTTAGACATAGCAGCAGATTATCCACTGCTGGGATGAACCAGGTAGATCAGGAGGGGATTTACAAGCAATGCTGGCCAACACCTCAAATCTCCACAGCTTCATTCATGATGTGAAACACCACAAGTGAGATCAAAGTGCATCCAAGATCAGTGTTTCAAGAGGCCTTGACTCCACCCAACCTAGATCCTCCCTCCCAATGGCATCCCATCCCTTGACATGACAGATGAGATCACCCACCCCATGGCTGGCAGAGCCATCGTGTCCCCATTGCATTGCCATGCATGCGGGGTGCCCTGTGCCAGGATGTCAGACAGCTCAGGGGACTGGCTGCTGAAACAGCTTCTGAAGATGTGCAGACCATGAGGTCAAAGTAGTCTGCATCATTTTTAAAACAAATTTTCAATTTCTTCGCTTATACATGCTGATGTACTCACAGAGGCATTTGTTTATCTATCTCTTATTCTCCCTTTAGAAACCCTTCCTTGCTCCATGCTAATGAAGCAATCTCCAAGGAGTAACTAACTCAATTGTAAGAGGATGAGAATGTACCTCCAGTTTAGTAGATAAACAACC